AGCGGACGGTGCTTTTTGCCCATTGTTGTCATCATTATCGTTATCACGCCGGAAGAAGTATAAAGCCGGCATGTCGCCTTACCTAGCTACACAGAAAATTGTTCTCTCTTTTGCTCCCCTTGGATCCTGGAAACTGTTACTATTAAGACGATCAACGAGAAAGCCTTTATAATTATTGAAACTTTTGATTAACAGAATGTAGGAAAAAATCGGTGGGGAGAGTTTTTCGCGTATCTTATAATCTGAACGATAGTTTTAAACAAAACAAATAACAATTCATTCAATTTACCTTAGTTGTCTCGTGTTTAAAAGTGGCGTTTCTGGGGACCGTAGATTCTTCTCTGATTCTTCTTATCATCATCAACTTTTTTCTTGTGCTTCTTACGGCATGGGACACAGTGAGCTGAGGTAGGCGATTGCAAATTTCTCAGTTAAAGTAAAGCCTAGTAGCATCCATCAGGAATTAAAAACCGACATGCACTGTTTACTTTAATTATTCTTAATGTAATAAGGGGTGTTTTAGTCTGCAAATTTAATCATGTCGGTTAATGAGAATCATACAAACTGAGGAAAACTGACCGCAAATAATTGTGAACCGTACGCATGAGTAAGTAGATTGCGTTGTCAGGTGATTTGATCTTCTACAAAAACATTATTGATTATCAACCGAGCAACTTTGTACATATTTCCATCTGTGATGAAAAGCACTTACACATAGAACTACTTTTTTTCAACGTGATGTGTACTTAATTACCCTTCATCTAAAAAAGAATTTTTTCTCTTTTCGAGCAGATATGTCACGTGACAAAAATAGAAAACAGAAAATGTTATTGAAGACCACCTGATTCAACTGGAATAATAACTCCAAACAGCTTTTGAACGTCCTGAGACATATGCAAGGTAATTACATCTCTGCCTTGGATACGCTTCCTGACACCATCATGATCGGGGTACTGACGTGTTACCTTTGCACTTCTCCAAAACTTCCCCAGAGTGTAGCGATGCCTATAAAAAATTCACATTTTTTTGTTTATCCTCCTGAGCGAGGTGAAATAGGCCAATCCTTGCCAAGATTAGCTCATCTTCACTTAAAAACCTCTTTAGACAGGTGGCAGCTTATGAAATGATGTTTTACTTCGTCATTGTATTCAGACAGTCGTACCAAACCAGTTAAGCCACACGATGAACCAAAGTTTTTTCCATCTTTGCTATTCAAAAAGCAGTCCTGAGACATAATGAACGTCCCGCTTGTGAACGACTTCTTCCTGTACTTGTAATTGTTTCCAACGCGATACAAGTTCGGGACATCTAAAGGAACTCATTATAACTTTGTATATTCGATACGATTTCAATTTCCGCGTCAAAGGAGAAGCCTACTGTAATTCGTGAGTGGTCAGTGGTTACGCTAGTGAGGTAAAGAATGGGTTTGTGACTTTCTCATTCAATTGAAAGACTCGCGTCACTCTTATAAAATGGTTGAACGGAATACAGACTTCGAGTAGTCTCTTATTTTTCCTAAAGATAGCGAGGTCACGCGTATCCTGTGAACATGGTGAATCCGCGAGACGCGAGACTCGTATCTCGCGTCTTCGCCGCTCCACGCTCTCAGAGTTGGGCAAAGACAAGACACGTTATTTCCGGTGCGATACAAGAGGTTCAATGGTTATCTCGATTATCTAAACACATTTAGTTACGTGGTAAAGATTTGTTTTTAAATCTATGAACTGATGCTAGTCCTATTTGGAACGAAGTGTATTTGAAATAAAAAAGAATACTAAGTAAAACAAAAGTTGTCTGCAACACGAAGTATGCCTTCGCATTAAGACTGAGAATCCTAATGTTTATCGAATGTTCCCAAAAACCTTCTGATAATCTGCCCGCATCCACCCCTCACCCCGCCCCTCGCCACTGAACCGTACTGTTTTCACTCAGCAGCTGGTCAGCGGTCACGTTTACGAGGTAAACAAACCGATCGATTCTTGATCACCGCTCTTGTCGATCGGAAAATCAAAATACCAGCGTGATATTGCCGCAAAGATGAAGCAGTTATGTTATTTGATTCGTACTTCACATTCGAGTCGAAGCTTGGGTGGCACAGGTTATTTCTTGCGGTGGAATCGACGAGGGGAATTCAGAAAGTTGTAGTGTTTGTATTGTTGGAATAAATGGTCGCATGGGGATGGTAAGTTTAACAAACAATTTCAAATTTTGCCGCTTGAATTGAAAGTAAAGTTCCTTTGAATTGCTTTCGTATATATTTCTGACGGTTTTAGATTAACCTGCTTGATTTATATCGGTTACGCTTCATGTTGACAAGTCCCTCAAAATGGCGGCCAAACTTGGAGATTGCCGAAAATTAGGTAAGTTCACGAAGTTATAAAGTTCTCGTAAAGGTCGGGCCGCAAAGTCTTTTTCTGTAGTTATCTTTTCTATGGCACCTACTTCCTAGCTGTGTTAGTTGGATCAGTTAACAACGCCTCACTTTTTCAAAAATTTACCTTGAATTTGATCGGTTTTGGCGTGTTTGATTTAGGCGAACCGATAAGGTGTCATTCAAGTCTTCCTGTTTCCTTGATTGACACGTGATGTTTACGAAAGTCGCCTCGATAGATAAGATAGAGTTAATATACATGGCTGTGGTATTTGTTTTTTGCTGAGTTCAGTAGTTTTTTTATAAATTGTCCTCCAAAGTTGTATGAAATTAAAGTCTTGAAAAGTGTCACAACAAGCCTCCGCTCGAGTGAAATTTAATTTCCGTAAAACTCTGAAAAATAAAGAGATCCGATCAAACTGATTGTGGTTTTAGTATAGGTACATGAATGTCTTACAACACACGAGAAACGAGCGAAATCCGTGTCTCAAGCAAAATCGACCGGACCGCTCTTACAGAGACACTCTCTTAAACGTGTAAAGGTGGGGTAACCCGCTTAGCCGGGGTCGCGCTCATGGCAAAAAGCTCAAAAGCGAAACATGTGTGTTTTAAAACTTTGTACATTTCCTAGCCGGCTCATGGCAGAAATCACCAGATTGTGGTTTTAGTATAGGTACATGAATGTCTTACAACACACGAGAAACGAGCTAAATCCGTGTCTCAAGCAAAATCGACCGGACCGCTCTTACAGAGACACTCTCTTAATAGTACCACTCTCTTTTGCAAGCCCCACCCATTGGCCACGGAACATAGCACCCCTGCCTCACATAAGCCACACATCCCCACCACTGCGTTTTGTAGCATGGTGCTGTAAAAATTTACAAAAGGTTCTCTTTCGTGCTTTTAGGGTATTCCTTGCAATTTTAGTGGAAAGAAAAACACCCCTAATAAGTACGAAAGGCACAGAGAGCCAAAAAAACATGAATAATTCCCTGCAATAAATGAATATATTTTACTGTTTGTCACTGGACAAAATTGACACTATTACAAAAATGTTTACAGAATGAAATATTTTGTAGTTCCAAGAGTTCAATTCTGATAGTGTTTAATTATATGGAGTTTTGCCCTTCACCTACCCCCTAAAGTTCCTTTGTCACGGTATTGCGTGACAAACCAAATACTCTAAGGGCGTACATGTTTGTGGTCAACTCAGTTTAGCATTGAATTAGACTGTCAGATGTAATCTTTTAGTGCATTGTAAACTGAGCAATACTCACAGTCAACTGAACCGTTGAATAAGATGCCACAGTGAAGAAAGATATCGAACGTTTGACAACAAGATGGTGTTCGACAGGGTTGGTGGTTTCATCGGAAGTTATCGTTTATACAGACCTAAATACGACGAACGACAAGAGAATCACACTAAAATGGTCTCTGAAGGGTCTTCTGCGGCAAATGAGGTTAGAGCATTTGGAAATATGTTTTTATGTACATTTTTCGGCCTCATATGGGTTGAAACATATTAAAATATGTGTGACTCGCGACTGGAATGTTGACCGCAAAAGGTCAAATAACTGCATTTAAACGGACTTCGAAAAGCTTTTGTACCGCTCTCAATCATTTGCCCAAACAAATTTTTACTGTTGTATTGAGAACAACTTTTCGAAATTCAATCACCAAAAGCTTAATCCATTTGAAGGTTTAGTACATGGTGAAAATTAATTTTATTCACGAAGTATTTTTACTGAAGAGAAATTCATGCTTTCGAAATTAAATTATTTTAAGCGCAAAGAGGAGCGCAATGTTTACAAAAATCATTTTTTGAGGTCTTATGAGACCGAAAAAGAAGATTTGAGTGTATAAAAGACGAGATAGTGATTCGTTTTTGCACGCGAAGCCCTCAAACTCGCGTAATAATTTGCTGCTAAAAATGACGATTTTAACGGAATTTCGATATTTGTGTTTTTCTCTGAAATAAAAAGATATTTTGCCAAAAAAGTATCCAGTGATTTAAGTTATAGCCTAGCCTATCTAACATTAAAATAAGAAAGAAATCGAATTTTCCACCCTTGCCGCGATATGTTTAATTTTTACAGACAAGCGTTCTTAAGATGACTAACGTTGCATGGTGATAGCCAGTTGTTTGTGCTTTGTTTGGTGTTTTGTTGATCCAAAATTAAACAAGCTCAATCCGAATGCAACTTCCGCAATTCTTTGAGTAAATTTCGTTGGGTTAATTACCCATTTCGTAGCTCCTGAGGGCAAATTTTTTAACGAGACCACAACACAGCAACACAGCAGTCAAACGTGGAGCATACCCAAGTGAATCATTTTTGGCCGACTCCGTCAATTTCCTGTGAAACATTACAAAGGAAAACAGCTGTCGCGCAAAGCTATAAGAAACAATCCAAACGTTCGTAAAAATAAGGGCAAGTGACCAGACATTTCAAGAAGTTAGAAAAATAGAAGTCATGCCGTCAAGAGACTTACTTTGGTAAAGTCATTCTGTTGCTCTTACTTCCCCACTTCAACACCTGGGTGCCCTGTGGTCCTGCTGTCTTTTAGACCCAGGTCTCCCATTTGGTCAGTCGTTAGTGTCCACGAAACCTGTCTCGCTGTCCACCCTTAACCAATATCTTATCGAAAATGATAGGTTTCCTCGAGATATGTGTTTTTCTGTTTGTCGTCTTGCACATCTTGAGAATTTATTTTGCCGATTGCGATGCAGTACTACATTTCTACGAGAGATTTGCAAAGCCACCGGATAAAAGACTACGAGGTAAAGTGATTTGGATTACTGGTGCATCGAGCGGAATCGGCGAACATTTAGCGTACAAGCTAACTGAATTTGGCTGCAAACTGGTGCTATCAGTGAGGAGAAAAGACGAATTAGACAGAGTGAAAAATCAGTGCATGAGTAAGTTTTGCTCCAAGTTATTTTAGTTTTTAAAACTTCATTCTACACGAGGTGAGGGAAAGCAGTCGCGTAGGGGGACGGGAGCTTAAGAATCTTTTTACTTCAATTAATTTCTCAAAACAGTTTCAAAAAATTTTCAAACCAGAAGAAGGCGACTCACTTACATGTCATTGAATAGGTTTATTGTGTTATGCCTCGATCTTCAAAACCTCCCGACACATGTAAATGAGGTGGACCAAAGTGGCAGGGTATTCTGCAGTTGCTCCAAAAAATAATTGAAGTTCAACTATATATGGTTTCCAGCTTATCGAGTGTTCTCCCAACCTCCCAAGTGTTTACATCAGGCTATGTAAACACGGAAACCATTTTACATTTCTTTTATAAAATAACTAATGAAAGAGGAACGAAAACCGTGTTTACATACGCTCATGTTAAATGGTTTTATGGCCAATCAGAGCGCGCGCACTATCTGAATTATTTTATAAAACTATATATTATAGTCTTTGTTTTCTTGCCACATAGGCTTGGCAGGAAAGCTTTTTCCATTAACATTTGAGGAAGATTTTCTTGTTGTGCCATTGGATATTACTAATTTCGCTTCTCACGAAGACTGCGTTACCAAAGCTCTTCAACAGTTTGGCAAGGTCATGATCTCTGCTTTGATGTGTTCTGCTTTAAATTTCAATGATATTCGAACCAAAGCTTACATGTACTATGTTTTCTTAACGACAGATTGATTTTCTAGTGAATAATGCAGGAATTTTACAGATGGGTTCATCAGTGGATAGTGATCTTGATGTAGATATTTCAGTCTTGAACACAAATGTACTAGGGACAATCTCTCTTACCAAAGCTGTTCTGCCTCACATAATTGGAGAAGGTAATGGTCAAATTGTTGTAATAAGTAGTGCCTCTGGGAAATGTGGTAAGTTTAATATCTCACTCTAGAGAGGGGCAAAGAGGAGGGGGGGGGGGTGGGTTGGAGTAAACTAAACATCATGCTGTAAATTCTGCATTACAACATAAACGTAATGAAGGATTTAATATATCATTCTGAAGGGAGGGAAGGGAGAGAGGAGACTTTTCATAAGAAAAGAGCAGCCACACATCCTGAAAATTTTGCATTAACGAATTAATACAGGCTTTACCTTTCCTCAGCCCTTATGATACCACCTTGAGCAGTGTAGATACACATTTTGAGTCTAGCATGGGTAGAGTTTATGGAAAACTTATACATATTTTTCCTTATGTGCCTAGATCATCAACAAGGGTGTTAACCCTTCAACTCCCAGATCAAATTTGTAATTCTTCTTACTGTCAACCATACAATTCTTATAATGTTAGTTCAGAGAATTTAGTATTGGATCAACTAATTATCCCCAAATTGATATTTTTCTTCATTCTCATCACTTATCTGGTTGATATTGTGTTGATATTGTAAGAAGAAATTATGTCTTGGTCACTCATGGGAGTTAAAGGGTTAAATTTTGACATAAAAGCTGAAAGATTGCATGGGTTTTATCAAGAAAAGTGAAGTCGCTGAGTGAGCAAAAGAACATCTCTGCAAGCAAAAATTTTTTATTGAAAAACAGAGAACACATAGCACTTGCAACTTTGTTTGACACATGGCCAAGATCACTTTTTACTTTTGGGCTTTGAGGTCCCTTTTGACTCAGTTTGTGTTTTAAGTAGTTGACAGTTGTTTTAAGCCATCCCATTTAACTGGAAAATAATTTTCTGAATCTGTCAGTTGTTGAGTAGAGAAATCATGAATATCTAATGAACTTCATCTTCCCTGTATGCACTACATGTATAAGTTGCAGGCCAAGCCTTTTACCCTTTTAAGTATAAGATATACATGCCATTTCTAGTGTGTTATATTATTTGCACAAGGTACTATCATGGTAACACATTTTTCTTTTTGTATTTGATGAACGCCTCAAGACAAGCATGATATTAATTAGCTGGTATTCATTTTGCAGCAGCAGGACCTAAGACAGCTGTGTATGCAGCTTCCAAACATGCTCTTCAGGTGATTGACTAGAACTGACATATTGCACTGTTTCTGTTACTGATTATACGATATATATTACCAAATATACTAAAGCATTACAGGCAGGTATTGTGTCCACTTTTCATGACTTCTTAAAGAACATTTAATATGTCTTTGGATATATTCTGATCAAGTTTGGCTACTCATAGACTTGGGCTGGTATCCAGGGTTTGAGCCAGGCCGCGCCATTGCGCCAATCCCGCGCTGCAATTGAAATTGTCCCTTAAAAAAACGGTCAAGGGGACAATTTGTCCCCTTCAAAATTTAGGGAAAAAACTCGAAAGGAAGCAAACACGAAGAGTTTTATCTCGATACAGAAATTGCAGGCTAAAACAGAACGTGGAAAGTATATTTTCTTGCACGTTTAGAGTTCATTCTAAAGTCACGTTTCAGTCACACTTTACTGAACACGTACGTCTCATGCTCAACCAAGCGTGGTGAACGCACGTGGCAATCTTTACTACGCTTTTCACAAACATGCGAACTCAAAAGTTCAAAAGCTGCCTTCACAATTACGTTTTTCGCTGCCCTCAATCATAATTACGATCACAAGCAACGAACCTTGAAACACAGAAACACACGAAACGGATTGAAATCCACCAATCACAAATCACAAACCATGACCTTTTGAACCCGTGAAAGTAAAGTTTTGTTTCCTAAGAGATCCGTTAAGATGATTGACGGCAGCGAAAAACGCAATCGTCAATTGGCTTTTGAACTTCAAAATTCGCATGTTTGTGAAAAGCGCAGTAACATGTCACATCGAAAACGTGTTCGATCATTAGAAAGCTTTTTCGCTCGGAATCGAAGCCAGAGTGAATCAGAGAAAAATGATACAGAAGAAGAACAGTGTATTAATCAGGAAGAAACGAATGAGGATCGAAGGAAACCGAAGAAATCGCGAACTTTCCTGAAAACTTAGTTGCGAGATCACACATGGTTGCGCTATGAAAAAGAGGCGATGTTCTGCTATTTTTGTCGGAAATCTAAGAAGACAAACCCCTTTGCAACGGCAGAAGGGTGTACAAATTTTAGAACCTCAACTCTGCAGCAACTCTTTTCTACAGCCCTTGAGTTTTGGGCGAGAACCAACTGAAGAATTAGTACATTTACGTTTACCAGTGATTAGGAAAGGAATTGAAGTTTACAAGGCGATGCCGGGACGAGATTCTGCTGTGTAATGTTTTGAAGTATAAAGCATAGTTATTGATCCTCTGTTTAAATATGACGAGAAAAAGAAATTTGACATCAATAACAACTTTTCTTTTTTGTATCACTTTTCTTGTATAACAAGTCTTACAAGGATCAGGTAAAAAAAATGTTTTTGTCGGCTTGCCTGTATGAATGTAAAAAAAGAAAATGTCGAATAAAAATTAATTTGTCTGTCCCCCTAAAAATGAAAATGTCCTCCAAAATTTTTGCTTTTTTTAAGGTGACAAATTGTCCCCCAGTGATCAAATACTAGCTCAAACCCTGGACTCATAGGAGCACCCTTCGAAAAGCCACATTCTGGGTGAACTAGGCGCACTCTACTATGTCTCTTTGAATTTGAGACTCAGTACGACTTCAATAGCTGCGTATTCCGTTGAGCGAGCTAATAAGGATCGAATGAAACTGTGCTTACGTTGAGCGCGTTAGGATAAGAGCTTCTGAAATTTTTCGTTGTTCAAAGAACATTCTCTTTGAAAATTTTGATAAGAATTTATGAAATTTGCGGAAAATAAATAGGCGAAAAAGTCATGAAAAGTGGTTCTTTTTTTCTTAAATATTGTTACTTGATTGAATATTATTTTCTTAACACAATTTTTTGCCTAATCAAGCTACGGGCATGCCATGGAGAGAACAGGTAAAATCAGTGGGTGGGCTTAAAACTAGAGACAATCAGAAGGACTTTTCATGCCTGTCTGTTTGTCTGATAGACGTCATGACAGTTAGTTAGCTTGGGGTGAAAAAGATAAGATCAATTGCTATATATAGGTGGAATCAGATAAATGCAGATGGGTGGAATCAAATCACCATGAGAGAGCACACTGTTCTTTGCAGTGGGAAATGGCTTTCATAGTACAAGCTTTAAAGGCATCTGAGCACTTTTCAATCACTGCATTTATATGAAGCCCATTGCTCTGATGTTTGCTCCGCCATTATCTGTTGAGGCAAAATTTCCACACTTGATACTATCGTCCGGAAAACAGTTAATACCAAATCTGATTCTAGAATCGCATGAGAAGCAGTCATCTTCATTGTCAGCGACCATGAAATTCTTGCTTGAGCATTTCTCCTATAAAAGCATTCAGCACTGAATCCTTCCTTACCACAGTAATACTACAAAGATGCTTGTAAACCAATAAGCGACTTTCACGAGTCACGACTCAGTAAATAGAGTCGGTCTGCTTGATGGTGACAATGAACCTGAGCTGGAACCTGAGCCGAGACAGATCTTTGAGAAGGAAGTGTTCAAGAATTGTCTCATTTTCATCAGGCCAATGCTTTGAGTGATAATCAAGGGTGGTCTGTCAAGGAATTAAAGATTCCGGAACTCACATCTTTTACCTGATTGAGTTATGATTTGGATATATTTCATAAGCACTGAATTTATGGTACAAAACGATACTGTACAGCGGCGGAATGAGTGCGCATGCTCGGCGGATATGGCGCGTTCAGGGAGCGTTTTGTGACTCTAGCGTGAATAATTTTCGTTGATGAACGAACAGAAAATCGTTTCACACTTTTTTGGATAGTAATTAATGTGAAACAAGTAAACAATTAATGGAGGTTGCTCTTATGGAAAGGTCTGAAGGTTAGGAAGCATTTTTTTAAATTAAAGGTCATCGTAAGCAGTTTTAAATTTAGCCAGAAAGCAAAGGCAATAGCAGTCGCTACAAAATTCGTCACCGTGTTACGGATGCTCTACTTAGTCCATAAATTCACATCTGTGACAGCAAAATTTTTCTCTGTTGAGTGAGTATGTGACGGGAAAGTTTCCACAGAAATTTTCTTGAAAACGGCTACCTTATCTGTTTTGCAAAATGAAAACAAACAATGGAAATTTTTAAAATGCCGCCATTTTTCCGCAATACTGTTACTGAAGAAATACTGTCGTTTCCATTCCTTTGCACACGTAAAATTTCTCGCGCGTTACAAGCATGCTCACTTATTGTGCCACTGTGTCGAACAAAACTGAGTCTTGTGTAGCATGCGCAGTATGCCTCACCTCTTTCACAGTTTTCTCCCCAATAACCATCTTGACACACACAGAGGTATTTTTTATATGTAAATCCCCTCAGGCACGTCCCATTAAACATGCAAGGATCACTGGAGCAAGGGCTCTGATAGGTACAAAAAAGGTGAAGGATAAATTATCTTAAGCTCTTTATAAAACCGATGATGGGAAAAAAAGTTACATCACAACCCCTCCACCTAGATGGTTTCATTGATTACTTGAAGTACCAGCGTGAGCTATCTTCTAAAATTACCTCTTGTTATCCTGTTGATAAATCAATCCAGATGCTTTCAAACGATTAAAACTTAATGCTGATGACCATCCATGTAATTTCAGTTAACAGGGGAAAAAAGGGCGTCTAAGCTTTTCACCAAAGTGTGAGGACTGAAGTTGGCACATTTTTGGGATCGAACTACATTTGTGTACATTACTTCGCAGCAGAGTATCAACATGGCTGGCGTTCGGGGTGAAAAGCTCTGTAACTTAATTTGTAACCTTGACCCCATCACTAACCTATTACCCAGAGCGCAAAACTTCGCCGTTGTTTAAGTTTGCATGCTTTTGTCTTTCTCCGTGATCCAACAAAAGTTCTCGACAAGTGATCCTCTTTCTCAGCTCTGTCATCAGACAATCTGCAGAATTACATAGAGGTATACGTAATTTATTCCGTAATCTTACCTCAGTACCAGTGTAGGTAAACCCATCTCGGGGTTTCAGGTCTTCAGGATGTCTAACGTGATCAGAATCGCTCAACTGACATAGCACTTGATCGTTTATTGATGGACCGATGTTAAATGATGCGCAGCTATTATCAATTACACACTTTCCTCTACAGGAATGACGCATACCCACGTGCAAAGTAATGTTTTTAATCACGTGACCCACGAGGGCGCGGCCATCTATTGATGGGGTGAATTTCAGAGATCGGCAGGAATCTGCAAAGAAGTGGGATAAATAGTGATATTAAAGCAACGATAGGAGTAAAAAAGTTAAAAAATATATGTATAAAACGAAGTGAACCTGACGAAATCATCAAGGCGCTGTCCTCAATTAGTTACTGATCATGTGAGAAACTTATGATTGTTTAAGACTCAAAAAGTAAACGTACCGGTTGTAAACGTTGTTGTGACAGGAGTTTCGAGCTAAGATGATTTTTGCACTTGGCGAGCATATTTTTTCTATATAAAAAGAGCTGTTTTAGCATGTTAGAAAAAGAAAGCGAGTGCCTCCCAAGCAAGTTGTACAATTCTGACTACTACGTTTTATCAAATGTTCTGTTTGTTTTTCTTGTACGACTCCTTTCACATCTTAAACTCTTCAGTCACTTTTTCTATTTCAAGAAGAGTGGCATGGATAGCAACAGCACACGATTGAGTTGTGGCCTCCATTACTATACCAAAGGGCATCAGTGCTATGGTGCGCAACCAGGAACAAAGAATTGTTCACCAATCCTTTTTTTAAACAGAAGTGCTGCCTCTACCATCCTTTCACTAAATGGAAATAGATGGGAAGGCCGGCGTACAAAAATCAGCAGATGTTCTCCAAAACAAAAAACAAAAAACTTCTTTGAAAGAAATACAAACAAACTAGGGAGCCGTGTCCCTAACGACCACTGGCGCGATTTGGTGTTCACCCGCTTTCACTTGCCTCCTCTGACTCAGGGCCTGGAGCAACCTAAAAGCTAAGTGGTGTTACGGCAGTAGATTGTATAATTAAGAAGAGCAATTTTCGTTTACCTCTATTACAGTCGTAGAGCTCTGCTCTCATTGAAATATAGCTATTCCAAGCTACCGGTCGGAAACGAATGTAGCGCGCAGTGACTGGTGGGTTTAAGACGTTTACCACAACGGTGTCTTTGTCCGTGTTTCCATTAAACTCCTTAATAGGATAAATTAAGAATTAATAATAAATCAGCCCTTGAAAATATTTACTGATAGTGGATAAAATTCAAGAATTGGCAGCTTAGACCTGCCAGTTTTGATCAACACTCTAACTCCCAAGATCTGATTGGTGATTCTCCCTAATAGCTGCAATACATTTCCATGTAAATAACAGTTATGACAATTTGGTGTCATATCATGATAACAACTCATATCTGTTAAGTTTGTCTGAGTATTCTCTTGAACTGCTTGATGGATAATGTATGGATATTAAGGAGAGAAGTTAAGTGTTGGTCACTTCTGGGTTTTAAGGGGTTAACAAGAGGAATTAACTCTCTTTTCTGAGAGCTTTTCCTCTAGTTAAGCTGTCAAGTACGCTCGGTTCATTCATGCTTCCAACTGATCTTGCTAAGGATATCAAAACCTTATGTACATGTGGTCCACTTGGTACTCTTTCTTTTTAAACACATTTTAAAATTATTTTAATTATTCTGGCGAAAAGACGCATGCACGAACAAATGTATGGAAGTATACGTTCTGAGAACATTCGCATGAAATTTGCAATCTTACTTTATCGGCACTTTGTCCTTCTTCCTTGAAATATTGCAAGCTTCCTTCATCATTACCATACTGCAGTTTGTACTTTGTAACCCACTGATTAACTCCATTCCTTCCCTGCGTTCCTACGCGAGTAACTTTGGTCTGTTGATCTCTCAGATCAATCTGCAGCCACTGTTTATCATCATTTGTCCTCGCTGACCAGGCTCCTCCTTTTTCGGGGCCTTGTTCATGATGTAGTCTGCCATTTTTGGGGCTAAGATTGCTGTTCCATTGGGAAGAGGCGCTAATTTGACTGTCAGATATTGCACCGTTTTCCATGCCAAGAGGGTACGTGTATTCGCATTCTAAAAGTTTATCCAGTAGTAAAAAAATAAGCACAAATACGTCTTCTAACGACAAAATAAATATCTTACGTTCAGAAAAATCCAGCCCCTGGAAGAACAGGTGCTTAATTAACATCTTCAGATACAAATACTTGAGATATTGAAGGGAAAGGTTGTCTATCCTCTCAAAACCTCCAGAATTTATCGAGTGACCAAGATTGATAATTAAAGCAAATTTAGCACGGAAACTTCGTAGACACTTGCATTAGGTTATTTACCTTCTGAAGCAGTGGTACAGTGGAAAAGATAACTTCCCCAGAGGAAAAACGATAACGTGCGAGCTAACTCAAAATGGTGTTTCATTTTCAGCAGTGATGCAGGATAATTAAACAGTTCTTTGATCGTAGTGCAATCAAACGACCACAGAAAGTTGATGGACTGTGAGAACCTGTTTGAGTAAACAGTAAAGAGTAAAGTAAAGTTTACTTAGCCGGATAATTGACTTTTCCATTTACTTGACCCGAAGACAAATTTTGAAATAATATCGACTCTTTAAATTTGCTTTTCCCATTTTTTTAGAGCGGAGTCACATCCTACTGTGTAAAGTACATAAGCATTCTGAGTTTGGCTAACATCTGCCCCAACCAAATTAACCAATCAGAACGAAGCCATGAAGCCTGAACATGATGTTATCAAACCCTTAAATTTTAAATCAACGAGCCTTCAAAATTTACCCTTATCACGCATATGAAGTACTAAAATAATTTAAGATAAGAACTTACCACCTCGATTGTTACGGGAAAATATATTGATTTTTCTATATGGTTGTTTGGAATATATTTATTCGTAAACTTTTCATATTCAACCATTTTTATTTTATTCGAGTTCATTCAAGTTCTTTCAGTCTAAGTAAATCAAAAAATATATAAAAAGCCACAGTGGTTTTTGAGTAGTAAACTAAGAGATTCTTGTTTTGTTGCTTGCTTTCATTTTACAGCTACATGTCGGTACTTTTGTTGACCACTGTCTGTGAAATTTTTAGGTAAATATAACTTTTAATGGTCTTTCTGAAAAAATTAGCTCTCATGGTAGTTGGCAGCTGAGTTTTTGCTCGTAATTTCAGTTTCCTTTCGTACGATAATTTCCCACACCAACTTTGCATAGATAAGCGGAAATTTGCATAGATAAGCCGAAATTTTTACCTGCTTTTCCACTTTTATTTCCTAAGCTGTTCTACTTTAATTAAGAGAGGTATATTTTCAATATCAGAGCTGTGAATTCTCACCTCAGTTTCCTATTTTTAATGGCCTAGAGTTTATTGAATCCTCTTCCTTAATTTGACAATTCTCACATCAGTTCATACTTAAGCAAGTACATTGTAAAGCTTTTTCGATTACATAGACGACTGCGTGCCGATTACATTGATTACGAAGTTGATTATGCTAAAGGTCATATCAGTTGTTGGTCCGACCTAGTAATAAAGTCTACTGTGGAACCAAAACGCTGTCTTATCCTTGAAGTCCGTAAAAGCTCGCTTGAAGTAGATCGTTGTGTACTAGGAAATCGTGACGAGTTTCCGTTCTCACTGCCGAGTTGCCTCTACAGAGCTATTTTTCCCCCATTGTTGTTGTGCCTTCTACGAGAGTTCAGTTGTGCACGAAAATCTTATCTTTACACAATAGCGTCTGAAGACTATTACAAAAATGCTGAGTAGCGTAACAGCACACCACAAAGAAATTATAATGATTTAAAAAAGTAGAAAAAAATTGTCATCCAGCCGTCGATATAACGAACAATTTGGTTGTTTTTACGCAAATTCGTTGTATCGAAGTTTTCGATATTACGAACCCTCAATATAACGAACCATTTTTGCCACTCCCTCGGCATTTCGTTAAATCGAGGTTCCACTGTATATAGCAATTCAAATTGCACAGTTTCGGCATTACACGAAAAATGTTTCTGTCAGATAGCTGCAAACTTAGATATTAACTTTCTCTTTGTCTTCCGAGTAATGTAAAACATTTTTGTCTCAAGGACATCTGCGGTCTTCTGTTGACCGATTTCTTGTTTCACAGAGAAAATCTTATTTGTCTCGAACTATTCTCCTTCTTTGTTATGATTTCTGTTACCTTTTTATTCCCGAGTTCTTCCCTCGCCCATGTTGTGAATGTTGGGAATCGTTGCAAAAATCAACCAACTAAGTATTCTCTTAGAAAAAATTTAAATTTTGAGAGTGTCTCCGCGTGTATCCCTGCATTGATAATAGAGACCGACAAAAGTATAAGAAGTAATTAAAAAAAGATATCAGATATGTTATGTTTTGATTACCCGACTATCTTCAACAGCTTGTGTTTCTTACATGTAAATTTCGATGTAACGTTTGACATCAAACTTGAAACGGTTTTCTTTACTTTTAAAATTCAGATATAACTTTTGCGTTCATGATGTGAAACGTACCTCCAGGAGACAAATAACTGAACTTCTAGTTTGATATTTTTCGATATTTGCTCTTCATTCTTTTAAAACAGACCCCACAGGCTGACTTTATTTGTTATGCCGGCTAAGAAATTATTAAGATGACGAACGTTTCATGGTTAAAGGGGTAAGTTTCTAAAGAAACTGTGGTGCTGCGTCGGTGGGAGAGTATAGCAGGTAATAGTGTTAACAACTGGGTTGAAAACGTAAATTAGCCACCGTAAAGGGTAAAAAAGCTGACGTTTCGAGCGTTAGCCCTTCGTCAGAGCGATTAGAGGAATTGTGGGTTGTGTGTTGGTGATAGCCAGTTGTTTGTGCTTTGTTTGGTGTTTTGTTGATCCAAAATTAAACAAGCTCAGTCCGATTGCAACTTCCACAGTTCTTTGAGTAAATTTCATTGACTTGCTTACCCATTTCGTAGCTCCTGAGGGCAAATTTTTTAACGGGACCACAACACAGCAGTCAAACGTGGAGCATACCCAAGTGAATCATTTTTGGCCGACCCCGCCAATTTCCTGTGAAACATTACAAAGGAAAATAGCTGTCGCGCAAAGCTATAAGAAACAATCCAAACGTTCGTAAAAATAAGGGCAAGTGACCAGATATTTCAAGAAGTTAGAAAAATACAAGTCATGCCGTCAAGAGACTTACTTTGGTAAAGCATTCTGTTGCTCTTACTTCCCCACTTCAACACCTGGGTGCCCTGTGATCCAGCTGTCTTTTAGACCCAGGTCTCCCATTTGGTCAGTCATTAGTGTCCACGAAACCTGTCTCGCTGTTCACCCTTAACCAATATCTTATCGAAAATGATAGGTTTCCTCGAGATATGTGTTTTTCTGTTTGTGTTTTTCTTGCACATCTTGAGAATTTATTTTACCGATTGCGATGCAGTACTACATTTCTACGAGAGATTTGCAAAGCCACCGGATAAAAGACTTCGAGGTAAAGTGATTTGGATTACTGGTGCATCGAGTGGAATCGGCGAACATTTAGCGTACAAGCTAACTGAATTTGGCTGCAAACTGGTGCTATCAGCGAGGAGAAAAGACGAATTAGACAGAGTGAAAAATCAGTGCATGAGTAAGTTTTGCTCTAAGTTATTTTAGTTTTTAAAACTTCATTCTACACGAGGTGAGGGAAAGCAGTCGCGTGGGGGGACGGGAGCTTAAGAATTTTTTTTTACTTCCATTAATTTCTCAAAACAATTTCAGAAAATTTTCAAACCAAAAGAAGGCGACTCACTTACATGTCATTGAATAAGTTTATTGTGTTATGCCTCGATCTTCAAAACCTCTCGACACATGTAAATGAGGTGGACCAAAGTGGCAGGGTATTCTGCAGTTGCTCCAAAAAATTATTAAAGTTCAGTTATATATTATGACTATAAATAATAGTCTTTGTTTTCTTGTCACATAGGCTTGGCAGGAAAGCTTTTTCCATTAAAATTTGAGGAAGACTTTCTTGTTGTGCCATTGGATATTACAAATACACAACGCGTATTCGCATTCTAAAAGTTTATCTAGTAGTAAAAAAATAAGCACAAATACGTCTTCTAAAGACAAAATAAATATCTTACGTTCAGAAAAATCCAGCTCCTGGAAGAACAGGTGCTTAATTAACATCTTCAGATACAAATACTTGAGATATTAAAGGGAAAGGTTGTCTATCCTCTCAAAACCTCCAGAATTTATCGAGTGACCAAGATTGATAATTAAAGCAAATTTAGCACGGAAACTTCGTAGACACTTGCATTAGGTTATTTACCTTCTGAAGCAGTGGTACAGTGGAAAAGATAACTTCCCCAGAGGAAAAACGATAACGTGCGAGCTAACTCAAAATGGTGTTTCATTTTTAGCAGTGATGCAGGATAATTAAACAGTTCTTTGATCGTAGTGCAATCAAACGACCACAGAAAGTTGATGGACTGTGAGAACCTGTTTATCAAATCACAATAAAGTCAGTTTACTTAGCCGGATAATTGACTTTTCCATTTACTTGACCCGAGGATAAATTTTGAAATAACATCGACTCTTTAAATTTGTTTTTCCCTTTTTTTAGAGCGGAGTCACATTCTACTGTTTAAAGTACATAAGCATTCTGAGTTTGGCTAACATCTGCCCCAACCAAATTAGCCAATCAGAACGAAGCCATGAAGCCTGAACATGATGTTATCAAACCCTTAAATTTTAAATCAACGAGCCTTCAAAATTAACCCTTATCACGCATATGAAGTAAAAATAATTTACGATTAGAACTTACCACCTCGATTGTTTCGGGAAAATATATTGATTTTTCTATATGGTTGTTTGGAATATATTTATTCGTAAACTTTTCATATTCAACCATTTTTATTTTATTCGAGTTCATTCAAGATCTTTCAGTCTAAGTAAATCAAAAAATATAAAAAGCCACAGTGGTTTTTGAGTAGTAAACTAAGAGATTCTTGTTTTGCTGCTTGCTTTCATTTTACAGCTACATGTCGGTACTTTTGTTGACCACTGTCTGTGAAATTTTTAGGTAAATATAACTTTTAATAGTCTTTCTGAAAAAATTAGCTCTCATGGTAGTTGGCAGCTGAGTTTTTGCTCGTAATTTCAGTTTCCTTTCGTACGATAATTTCCCACACCAACTTTGCATAGATAAGCGGAAATTGCATAGATAAGCAGAAATTTTTAACTGCTTTTCCACTTTTATTTCCTAAGCTGTTCTACTTTAATTAAGAGAGGTATATTTTCAATATCAGAGCTGTGAATTCTCACCTCAGTTTCCTATTTTTAATGGCCTAGAGTTTATTGAATCCTCTTCCTTAATTTGACAATTCTCACATCAGTTCATACTTAGGCAAGTACATTGTAAAGCTTTTTCGATTACATAGACGACTGCGTGCCGATTACATTGATTACGAAGTTGATTATGCTAAAGGTCATATCAGTTGTTGGTCCGACCTAGTAATAAAGTCTACTGTGAAACCAAAACGCTGTCTTATCCTTGAAGTCCGTAAAAGCTCGCTTGAAGTAGATCGTTGTGTACTAGGAAATCGTGACGAGTTTCCGTTCTCACTGCCGAGTTGCCTCTACAGAGCTATTTTTCCCCCATGGTTGTTGTGCCTTCTACGGGAGTTCAGTTGTGCACAAAAATCTGATCTTTACACAATAGCGTCTGAAGACTATTACAAAAATGCTGAGTTGCGTAACAGCACACCACAAAGAAATTATAATGATTTAAAAAAATAGGAAAAAATTTTCATCCAGCCGTCGATATAACGAACAATTTGGTTGTTTTTACGCAAATTCGTTGTATCGAAGTTTTCGATATTACGAACCCTCAATATAACGAACCAGTTTTGCCACTCCCTCGGCATTTCGTTAAATCGAGGTTCCACTGTATATAGCAATTCAAATTGCACAGTTTCGGTATTACACGAAAAATGTTTCTGTCAGATAGCTGCAAACTTAGATATTAACTTTCTCTTTGTTTTCCGAGTAATGTAAAATATTTTTGTTTCAAGGACATCTACGGTCTTCTGTTGACCGATTTCTTGTTTCACAGTGAAAATCTTATTTGTCTCGAACTATTCTTTTTCTTTGTCATGATTTCTGTTACCTTTTTATTCCCGAGTTCTTCCCTCGCCCATGTTGTGAATGTTGGGAATCGTTGCAAAAATCAACCAACTAAGTATTCTCTTCGAAAAAATTTAAATTTTGAGAGTGTCTCCGCGTGTATCCCTGCATTAATAATAGAGACCAACAAAAGTATAAGAAGTAATTAAAAAAAGATATCAGATATGTTATGTTTTGACTACCCGACTATCTTCAACAGCTTGTGTTTCTTACATGTAAATTTCGATGTAACGTTTGACATCAAACTTGAAACGGTTTTCTTTACTTTTAAAATTCAGATATAACTTTTGCGTTCATGATGTGAAACGTACCTCCAGGAGACAAATAACTGAACTTCTAGTTTGATATTTTTCGATATTTGCTCTTCATTCTTTTAAAACAGACCCACAGGCTGACTTTATTTGTTATGCCGGCTAAGAAATTATTAAGATGACGAACGTTTCATGGTTAAAGGGGTAAGTTTCTAAAGAAACTGTGGTGCTGCGTCGGTGGGAGAGTATAGCAGGTAATTTAGTGTTAACAACTGGGTTGAAAACGTAAATTAGCCACCGTAAAGGGTAAAAAAGCTGACGTTTCGAGCGTTAGCCCTTCGTCAGAGCGATTAGAGGATTGTGGGTTGTGTGTTGGTGATAGCCAGTTGTTTGTGCTTTGTTTGGTGTTTTGTTGATCCAAAATTAAACAAGCTCAGTCCGAATGCAACTTCCACAGTTCTTTGAGTAAATTTCATTGACTTGCTTACCCATTTCGTAGCTCCTGAGGGCAAATTTTTTAACGAGACCACAACACAGCAACACTGCAGTCAAACGTGGAGCATACCCAAGTGAATCATTTTTGGCCGACCCCGCCAATTTCCTGTGAAACATTACAAAGGAAAACAGCTGTCGCGCAAAGCTATAAGAAACAATCCAAACGTTCGTAAAAATAAGGGCAAGTGACCAGACATTTCAAGAAGTTAGAAAAATACAAGTCATGCCGTCAAGAGACTTACTTTGGTAAAGTCATTCTGTTGCTCTTACTTCCTCACTTCAACACCTGGGTACCCTGTGGTACTGCTGTCTTTTAGACCCAGGTCTCCCATTTGGTCAGTCATTAGTGTCCACGAAACCTGTCTCGCTGTTCACCCTTAACCAATATCTTATCGAAAATGATAGGTTTCCTCGAGATATGTGTTTTTCTGTTTGTCGTCTTGCACATCTTGAGAATTTATTTTGCCGATTGCGATGCAGTACTACATTTCTACGAGAGATTTGCAAAGCCACCGGATAAAAGACTACGAGGTAAAGTGATTTGGATTACTGGTGCATCGAGCGGAATCGGCGAACATTTAGCGTACAAGCTAACTGAATTTGGCTGCAAACTGGTGCTATCAGCGAGGAGAAAAGACGAATTAGACAGAGTGAAAAATCAGTGCATGAGTAAGTTTTGCTCTAAGTTATTTTAGTTTTTAAAACTTCATTCTACACGAGGTGAGGGAAAGCAGTCGCGTGGGGGGACGGGAGCTTAAGAATTTTTTTTACTTCCATTAATTTCTCAAAACAATTTCAGAAAATTTTCAAACCAAAAGAAGGCGACTCACTTACATGTCATTGAATAAGTTTATTGTGTTATGCCTCGATCTTCAAAACCTCCCGACACATGTAAATGAGGTGGACCAAAGTGGCAGGGTATTCTGCAGTTGCTCCAAAAAATGATTGAAGTTCAGTTATATATTATAACTATAAATAATAGTCTTTGTTTTCTTGTTACATAGGCTTGGCAGGAAAGCTTTTTCCATTAACATTTGAGGAAGACTTTCTTGTTGTGCCATTGGATATTACAAATTTCGCTTCTCACGAAGACTGCGTTACCAAAGCTCTTCAACAGTTTGGCAAGGTCATGATCTCTGCTTTGATGTGTTCTGCTGTAGATTTCAATGATATTCGAACCAAAGCGTACATGTACTATGTTTTCTTAATTGCAGATTGATTTTCTAGTGAATAATGCAGGAATTTTACAGATGGGTTCATCAGTGGATAGTGATCTTGATGTAGATATTTCAGTCTTGAACACAAATGTACTAGGGACAATCTCTCTTACCAAAGCTGTTCTGCCTCACATGATTGGAGAAGGAAATGGTCAAATTGTTGTAATAAGTAGTGCCTCTGGGAAATGTGGTAAGTTTAATATCTCACTCAAGAGAGGGGCAAAGAGGAGGGGGGGGGGGGGGGGGTGGGTGGGAGTAAAATATACATCATGCTGAAAATTCTGCATTACAACATAAACGTAATGAAGGATTTAATATATCATTCTGAAGGGAGGGAAGGGAGAGAGGGGACTTTTCATGAGAAAAGAGCAGCCACACATGCTGAAAATTTTGCATTAAAGCATTAATGCAGGCTTTACCTTTTCTCAGTCCTCATATGATACCACCTTGAGCACAGATACACATTTTGAGTCTAGCATGGGTGGAGTTCATGGAAAATTTATACATATTTTTCCTTATGTGCCTAGATCATCAACAAGGGTTTTAACTCTCAGCTCAAATTTGTAATTCTTCTTATTGTCAACCATATGATTCTTATAATGTTAGTTCAGAGAATTTAGTATTGGATCAACTAATTATCAGCACTTATCTGGTTGATATTGTGTTGATATTGTAAGGAGAAATTCTGTCTTGGTCACTTATGGGAGTTAAAGGGTTAAATTTTAACATAAAAGCTGAAAGATTGCATGTGTTTATCCAGAAAAGTGAATTCGCTGAGTAAGCAAAACAAAATTTAAGGATTTGCACTCCAAAGGGAAACAGAAAATTTTGTAGTCCTACGAGAATATCTCTGCAAGCAAAAATTTTTTATTGAAGAACAGAGAACACGTAGCACATGTAACTTTGTTTGACACATGGCTAAGATCACTTTTTACTTTTGGGCTTTGAGGTCCCTTTTGACTCAGTTTGTGTTTTATGTAGTTGAAAGTTGTTTTAAGCCATCCCATTTTACTGGAAAATAATTCCCTGAACCTGTCAGTTGTTGAGTAGAGAAATCATGAATATCTAATGAACTTCATCTTCCCTGTATGCACTACATGTATAAGTTGCAGGCCAAGCCTTTCACCCTTTTAAGTATAAGATACATGCCATTTCTAGCATGTTATATTATTTGCACAAGGTACTATCATGGTAACACATTTTTCTTTTTATATTTGATGAATGCCTCAAGACAAGCATGATATTAATTAGCTGGTATTCATTTTGCAGCAGCAGGACCTAATACAGCTGTGTATGCAGCTTCCAAACATGCTCTTCAGGTGATTGACTAGAACTGACATATTGCACTGTTTCTGTTACTGATTATATGATATGTATTACCAAATACACTAAAGCATTACAGGCAGGTATTGTGTCCACTTTTCATGACTTCTTAAAGAAATATTTAATATGTCTTTGGACATATTCTGATCAAGTTTGGCTACTCATAGACTTGGGCTGATATGAACAAGTTCTTAATGAAACTCGAAGCACTCTGAGTTTGAATCCTTCCTATCTTCCATTCAGGACAAAAAATAAATAAATAAATTTAAAAAAAAGGTTGGAAGGTCAACCATGTAATAAGAATTACACTTGGGACAGACTAACAAGTTTTTCAAGGACTTCTGGAAAGTGAATGAAGGTTAACCCTTTAACTCCTAGAAGTGATTAACATGAAACTTCTCCCTATGTTTTCCATACATTATTCAGCAAACAGGTAAAGAGAATATTTGAACTTATCAGGTAGAAGCTGCTATCTTGATCTAGCACCAAGTTCTCATAACTAATTTACAAGGAAATGTGTAGCAGCTAGAGGGGAGAATTAACAATCAGATCTTGAAAGTTAAAGGGTACTAGACAAACAATGGTGAGCTAACATTATAAGCTCACCATCATTTATCTTACTGGCCATGTTTAATCTTTACTCCCCACCCCCACCCCTCTCCTTATTTTTGACCATCAACCTCCCCCCTGGTACAAATTTCTTTCTCTCCCCAGCCTTCCACTGCCATTAAAATCAAAGATGGGGACTACAATTTTTGTTAGGAAATTACAGAGCACTTGCTCGCCAAAATCACACCTGCTCTACAAGCTAAATTTTTGTGAATTAATGATTTGGGGCTGAATTGTTTTTACTTCAGGGGGCAAACTTGTATTAGGTTGTAGGGGTAAACTTCCTATAGGGAAAAATCTCCAGTTACTCTTTTAAAGTTTAAAAATTTGAACAAAATTACTGTCCAGTATGTAATAAATACACTTGCATCATTTACAGGGTTATTTCAATACTTTGCGCATAGAAGTCCATGAAAAGAATGTTGGTGTCACAATGATATGCCCTGGCCTAGTGTATTCAAACATTTTAAAAAATGCATATCGAGAGAATATTGAGGTATGTTAATGATATCCACCTTTCATACTATTATTTACTATATAAAATAAAAGCATGGTTGAACCAAATCAACACATTTAAAATCTCCTTCATAGCTGACTCATTCCTCCCCCCCCCCTCCTTTAGGTTAGGATCAGGTGCCTCTCAACCAATCAGATTCAAAACTTAAATCAATCCCAACTTGGTAACTTGCACTTTCCCACACTTCAAGGAGATTGCTTGTGTTACTCTGAGTTCTCATTGGGTAATGGTGATGTTAACCCATTAAGCCCCAATAGTGACCAGCATCTAATTTCTCCCAACAATATCACTACCTGATCAAATGTATAGATCATGAGAATAAATGAAATGATCACCAAAGATGAATCGTCTTGATGTTTGAACAAATTCTCTCAATCAGTAAAATAAAAAACATAGAGAGAACAGTGACAAGAATATACATGTTGATATGGGATCTTAATTAAAGGGTTAACCTGTGTTCTGATTGGTTGTTGTGATTCATTTGGTTTTGGTTTTGAGATACTCAGTTGAAAAACTCTAGCAAAAGATGATTAAGCTAAGACATCAAATCTTCTAAGTTTTCTTTATTCCACAGGACATCTCAGGACATCTCTCTCTTGCACAATTGTATGACTTTAAAAAAAAACTTTTTGTTCACTTTACAGACTCGCAGGGATCAAGTCTTTCCTGTGACAACCATCAAAACAGAACGATGCGTGCATCTTATTATTATTGCCATGGCAAATGCTTTGAATGAAGTGTGGATTGCTATTCCAAAACGAATGATAGAATTGTATCTTTCACAGTATCTACCACTTGTCAGGAACTGGTAAGGTAATTTATAAGCTATGGCAGTTGTATTACATCTGTTTTGCCTCTGCTGTCTCCCATTACACTATGGTATTGGTGGAAAATGTAATTATGCATCCTCCAATCAGGTCTACATGGCTTCAGCCATTCAGCGAAATGTGGAGGTTTACCACGGAAAGAGGATTCCTCTTGAGTCCAAATGGCAGCTCATGGTTGGACGCCTTACAAGAGGCTCCTACAAGGCCAAATTTTCAATCACTGCACTTGCTGTAAAAACTGACTCAAATGAAATTTCCTTGCAGAAATTGTTTTGGTCATAGGAGCACCCTTCGAAAAGCCACATTCTGGGTGAACTAGGCGCACTCTACCATGTCTCTTTGAATTTGAGACTCAGTACGACTTCAATAGCTGCGTATTCCGTTGAGCGAGCTAATAAGGATCGAATGAAACTGTGCTTACGTTGAGCGCGTTAGGATAAGAGCTTCTGAAATTTTTCGTTGTTCAAAGAACATTCTCTTTGAAAATTTTGATAAGAATTTATGAAATTTGCGGAAAATAAATAGGCGAAAGAGTCATGAAAAGTGGTTCTTTTTTTCTTAAATATTGTTACTTGATTGAATATTATTTTCTTCCGTAACGGAAGGAAACAATTTTTTGCCTAATCAAGCTACGGGCATGCCATGGAGAGAACAGGTAAAATCAGTGGGTGGGCTTAAAACTAGAGACAATCAGAAGGACTTTTCATGCCTGTGTGTTTGTCTGATAGACGTCATGACAGTTAGTTAGCTTGGGGTGAAAAAGATAAGATCAATTGCTATATATAGGTGGAATCAGATAAATGCAGATGGGTGGAATCAAATCACCATGAGAGAGCACACTGTTCTTTGCAGTGGGAAATGGCTTTCATAGTACAAGCTTTAAAGGCATCTGAGCACTTTTCAATCACTGCATTTATATGAAGCCCATTGCTCTGATGTTTGCTCCGCCATTATCTGTTGAGGCAAAATTTCCACACTTGATACTATCGTCCGGAAAACAGTTAATACCAAATCTGATTCTAGAATCGCATGAGAAGCAGTCATCTTCATTGTCAGCGACCATGAAATTCTTGCTTGAGCATTTCTCCTATAAAAGCATTCAGCACTGAATCCTTCCTTACCACAGTAATACTACAAAGATGCTTGTAAACCAATAAGCGACTTTCACGAGTCACGAGCTAGTAAATAGAGTCGGCTGCTTGATGGTGACAATGAACCTGAGCTGTGGGTCGATCTATATACCAAGACAGATCTTTTAGAAGGAAGTGTTCAAGAATTGTCTCATTTACATCAGTCCAATGCTTTGAGTGATAATCAAGGGTGGTCTGTCAAGAAATTAAAGATTCCGAAACTCATATCTTTTACCTGATTGAGTTATGATTAGGATATATTTCATAAGCACTGAATATATGGTACAAAACGATACTGTACAGCGGCGGAATGAGTGCGCATGCTCGGCGGATATGGCGCTTTCAGGGAGCGTTTTGTGACTCTAGCGTGAATGATTTTCTTTAATGAACGAACAGAAAATCGTTTCACACTTTTTTGGACAGTAATTAATGTGAAACAAGGAAACAATTAATGGAGGTTGCGGTTATGGAAAGGTCTGAAGGTTAGGAAGCATTTTTTAAATTAAAGGTCATCGTAAGCAGTTTTAAATTTAGCCAGAAAGCAAAGGCAATAGCAGTCGCTACGAAATTCGTTACCGTGTTACGGATGCTCTACTTAGTCCATAAATTCACATCTGTGACAGCAAATTTTTTTTCTGTTGAGTGAGATATGTGACGGGGAAGTTTCCAAGGATCTTATCTGTTTTGCAAAATGAAAGCAAACAATGGAAATTTTTAAAATGCCGCCATTTTTCCGCAATACTGTTACTGAAGAAATACTGTCGTTTCCATTCCTTTGCACAAGTAAAATTTCTCGCGCGTTACAAGCATGCTCACTTATTTCGCCACTGTGTCGAACAAAACTGAGTCTTGTGTAGCATGCGCACTATGCCTCACCTCTTTCGCAGTTTTCTCCCCAATAACCATCTTGACACACACAGAGGTATTTTTTATATGTAAATCCCCTCAGGCACGTCCCATTAAACATGCAAGGATCACTGGAGCAAGGGCTCTGATAGGTACAAAAAAGGTGAAGGATAAATTATCTTAAGCTCTTTATAAAACCGATGATGGGAAAAAAAGTTACATCACAACCCCTCCACCTAGATGGTTTCATTGATTACTTGAAGTACCAGCGTGAGCTATCTTCTAAAATTAACTCTTGTTATCCTGTTGATAAATCAATCCAGATGCTTTCAAAACGATTAAAACTTAACGCTGATGACCATCCATGTAATTTCAGTTAACAGAGGAAAAAAGGGGGGGTCTAAGCTTTTCACCAAAGTGTGAGGACTGAAGTTGGTACATTTTTGGGATCGAACTACATTTGTGTACGTTACTTCGCAGCAGAGTATCAACATGGCTGGCTTTCGGGGTGAAAAGCTCTGTAACTTAATTTGTAACCTTGACCACACCACTAACCTCTTACCCAGGGCGGAAAACTTCGCCGTTGTTTAAGTTTGCATGCTTTTGTCTCTCTCCGTGATCCAACAAAAGTTTTCGACAAGTGATCCTCTTTCTCAGCTCTGTCATCAGACAATCTGCAGAATTACATAGAGGTATACGTAATTTTTTCGGTAATCTTACCTCAGTACCAGTGTAGGTAAACCCATCTCGTGGTTTCAGGTCTTCAGGATGTCTAACGTGATCAGAATCGCTCAACTGACATAGCACTTGATCGTTTATTGATGGACCGATGTTAAATGATGCGCAGCTATTATCAATTACACACTTTCCTCTACAGGAATGACGCATACCCACGTGCAAAGTAATGTTTTTAATCACGTGACCCACGAGGGCGCTGCCATCTATTGATGGGGTGAATTTCAGAGATCGGCAGGAATCTGCAAAGAAGTGGGATAAATAGTGATATTAAAGCAACGATAGGAGTAAAAAAGTTAAAAAATATATGTATAAAACGAAGTGAACCTGACGAAATCATCAAGGCGCTGTCCTCAATTAGTTACTGATCATGTGAGAAACTTATGATTGTTTAAGACTCAAAAAGTAAACGTACCGGTTGTAAACGTTGTTGTGACATGAGTTTCGAGCTGAGATGATTTTTGCACTCGGCGTGCATATTTTTTTGTTATATAAAAAGAGCTGTTTTAGCATGTTTAAAAAAGAAAGCGAGTGCCTCCCAAGCAAGTTGTACAATTCTGACTACTACGTTTTATCAAATGTTCTGTTTGTTTTTCTTGTACAACTCCTTTCACATCTTAAACTCTTCAGTATCTATTTCAAGAAGAGTGGCATGGACAGCAACAGCACACGATTGAGTTGTGGCCTCCATTACTATACCCAAGGGCATCCGTGCTATGATGCGCAACCAGGAGCAAAGAATTGTTCACCAATCCTTTTTTTAAACAGAAGTGCTGCCTCTACCATCCTTTCACTAAATGGAAATAGATGGGAAGGCCGTCGTACAAAAATCAGCAGATGTTCTCCAGAACAAAAAACAAAAAAACATACAAACAAACTAGGGAGCCGTGTCCCTAACGACCACTGGCGCGATTTGTTGTTCGCCTGCTTTCACTTGCCTCCTCTGACTCAGGGCCTGGAGCAACCTAAAAGCTAAGTGGTGTTACGGCAGTAGATTGTATGATTGAAAAGAGCAATTTTCGTTTACCTCTATTACAGTCGTAGAGCTCTGCTCTCATTGAAATATAGCTATTCCAAGCTACCGGTCGAAAACGAATGTAGCGCGCAGTGATTGGTGGGTTTAAGACGTTTACCACAACGGTGTCTTTGTCCGTGTTTCCATTAAACTCCTTAATAGGATAAATTAAGAATTAATAATATATCAGCCCTTGAAAATATTTACTGATAGTGGATAAAATTCAAGAATTGGCAGCTTAGACCTGCCAGTTTTGATCAACACTCTAACTCCCAAGATCTGATTGGTGATTCTCCCTAATAGCTGCAATACATTTCCATGTAAATAACAGTTATGACAATTTGGTGTCATATCATGATAACAACTCATATCTGATAAGTTTGTCTGAGTATTCTCTTGAACTGCTTGATGGATAATGTATGGATATTAAAAAGAGAAGTTAAGTGTTGGTCACTTCTGGGTTTTAAGGGGTTAACAAGAGGAATTAACTCTCTTTTCTGAGAGCTTTTCCTCTAGTTAAGCTGTCAAGTACGTTCGGTTCATTCATGCTTCCAACTGATCTTGCTAAGGATATCAAAACCTTATGTACATGTGGTCCACTTGATACTCTTTCTTTTTAAACATATTTTAAAATTATTTTAATTATTCTTGCGAAAAGACGCATGCACAAATGTATGGAAGTATACGTTCTGAGAACATTCGCATGAAATTTGCAATCCTACTTTATCAGCACTTTGTCCTTCTTCCTTGAAATACTGCAAGCTTCCTTCATCATTACCATACTGCAGTTTGTACTTTGTAACCCACTGATTAACTCCATTCCTTCCCTGCGTTCCTACGCGAGTAACTTTGGTCTGTTGATCTCTCAGATCAATCTGCAGCCACTGTTTATCATCATTTGTCCTCGCTGTCCAGGCTCCTCCTTTTTCGGGGCCTTGTTCATGATGTAGTCTGCCATTTTTGGGGCTAAGACTGCTGCCCCATTGGGAAGAGGCGCTAATTTGACTGTCAGATATTGCACCGTTTTCCATGCCAAGAGGGTACGTGTATTCGCATTCTAAACGTTTATCCAGTAGTAAAAAAATAAGCACAAATACGTCTTCTAACGACAAAATAAATATCTTACGTTCAGAAAAATCCAGCCCCTGGAAGAACAGGTGCTTAATTAACATCTTCAGATACAAATACTTGAGATATTGAAGGGAAAGGTTGTCTATCCTCTCAAAACCTCGAGAATTTATCGAGTGACCAAGATTGATAATTGAAGCAAATTTACCACGAAAACTTCGTAGACACTTGCATTAGGTTATTTACCTTCTGAAGCAGTGGTACAGTGGAAAAGATAACTTCCCCAGAGGAAAAACGATAACGTGCGAGCTAACTCAAAATGGTGTTTCATTTTTAGCAGTGATGCAGGATAATTAAACAGTTCTTTGATCGTAGTGCAATCAAACAACCACAGAAAGTTGATGGACTGTGAGAACCTGTTTATCAAATCACAATAAAGTCAGTTTACTTAGCCGGATAATTGACTTTTCCATTTACTTGACCTGAGGATAAATTTTGAAATAACATCGACTCTTTAAATTTGTTTTTCCCATTTTTTTAGAGCGGAGTCACATTCTACTGTTTAAAGTACATAAGCATTCTGAGTTTGGCTAACATCTGCCCCAACCAAATTAACCAATCAGAACGAAGCCATGAAGCCTGAACATGATGTTATCAAACCCTTAAATTTTAAATCAACGAGCCTTCAAAATTTACCCTTATCACGCATATGAAGTACTAAAATAATTTAAGATAAGAACTTACCACCTCGATTGTTACGGGAAAATATATTGATTTTTCTATATGGTTGTTTGGAATATATTTATTCGTAAACTTTTCATATTCAACCATTTTTATTTTATTCGAGTTCATTCAAGTTCTTTCAGTCTAAGTAAATCAAAAAATATAAAAAGCCACAGTGGTTTTTGAGTAGTAAACTAAGAGATTCTTGTTTTGTTGCTTGCTTTCATTTTACAGCTACATGTCGGTACTTTTGTTGACCACTGTCTGTGAAATTTTTAGGTAAATATAACTTTTAATGGTCTTTCTGAAAAAATTAGCTCTCATGGTAGTTGGCAGCTGAGTTTTTGCTCGTAATTTCAGTTTCCTTTCGTACGATAATTTCCCACACCAACTTTGCATAGATAAGCGGAAATTGCATAGATAAGCAGAAATTTTTAACTGCTTTTCCACTTTTATTTCCTAAGCTGTTCTACTTTAATTAAGAGAGGTATATTTTCAATATCAGAGCTGTGAATTCTCACCTCAGTTTCCTATTTTTAATGGCCTAGAGTTTATTGAACCTCTTCCTTAATTTGACAATTCTCACATCAGTTTATACTTAAGCAAGTACATTGTAAAGCTTTTTCGATTCCATAGACGACTGCGTGCCGATTACATTAATTACGAAGTTGATTATGCTAAAGGTCATATCAGTTGTTGGCCCGACCAAGTAATAAAGTCTACCGTGGAACCAAAACGCTGTCTTATCCTTGACGTCCGTAAAAGCTCGCTTGAAGTAGATCGCCGTGTACTAGGAAATCGTGACGAGTTTCCGTTTCCACTGCCGAGTTGTCTCTACAGAGCTATTTTTCCCCCATTGTTGTTGTGCCTTCTACGAGAGTTCAGTTGTGCACGAAAACCTTATCTTTATACAATAGCGTCTGAAGATTATTACAAAAATGCTGAGTAGCGTAACATCACACCACAAAAAATTATAACGATTTAAAAAAATAGAAAAAAATTATCCAGCCGTCGACATGACGAACAATTTGGTTGTTTTTACGCAAATTCGTTAAATCGAGGTTTTCGATATAACGAACCCTCGATATAACGAACCAGTTTTGCCACTCCCTCGGCATTTCGTTAAATCGAGGTTCGACTGTATATAGCAATTCAAATTGCACAGTTTCGGCATTACACGAAAAATTTTTCTGTCAGATAGCTGCAAACTTAGATATTAACTTTCTCTTTGTCTTCCGAGTAATGTAAAACATGTTTGTCTCAAGGACATCTGCGGTCTTTTGTTGACCGATTTCTTATGTCACAGTGAAAATCTTATTTGTCTCGAACTATTCTCCTTCTTTGTTATGATTTCTGTTACCTTTTTATTCCCGGGTTCTTCCCTCGCCCATGTTGTGAATGTTGGGAATCGTTGCAAAAATCAACAAACAAAGTATTCTCTTAAAAAAATATACATTTTGAGAGTGTCTCCGCGTGTATCCTTGCATTGATAATAGAGAACAATTCAAGTATAAGAAGTAATTAATAAAAGATATCTGATGTATGTTATAATTACCCGACTATCTTCAACAGCTTGTGTTTCTTAAATTTCGATGTAACGTTTGACATCAAACTTGAAACGGTTTTCTTTACTTTTAAAATTCAGATTTCACTTTTGCGTTCAAGATGTGAAACGTACCTTCAGGAGACTAATAACTGAACTTCTAGTTTGATATTTTTTCGATATTTGCTCTTCATTCTTTTAAAACAGACCCCACAGGTAGACTTTTTTTGTTATGCCGACTAAGAAATTGAAGATGACTGACGTTGCATGGTGATAGCCAGTTGTTCGTGCTTCGTTGGGCGTTTTGTTGTTCCAAAATTAAACAAGCTCAATCCGAATGCAACTTCTGCAATTCTTTGAGTAAATTTCGTTGACTTACTTACCCATTTCGTGGCTCCTGAGGGCAAATTTTTTAACGAGACCACAACACAGCAACACAGCGGTCAAACATGGAGCATGCCTAAGTGAATAATTTTTGGTCGACTCCGCCAATTTCCTGTCAAACATTTCAAAGGAAAACAGCTGTCGCACAAAGCTATAAAAAACATCGAAACGTTCGTAAAAATAAGGGCAAGTGACCAGACATTTCAAGAAGTTAGAAAAATACAAGTCATGCCGTCAACGGCGTACTTTGATGAAGTCAGCCTCAACACCTGGGTGCCCTGTGGTCCTGCTGTCTTTTAGACCCAGGTCTCCCATTTGGTCAGTCATTAGTGTCCACGAAACCTGTCTAGCTGTCCACCCTTAATCAATATCTTATAGAAAATGATAGGTTTCCTCGAGATATGTGTTTTTCTGTTTGTCGTCTCGCACATCTTGAGAATTTATTTTGCCGATTGCGATGCAGTACTACATTTCTACGAGAGATTTGCAAAGCCACCGGATAAAAGATTACGAAGTAAAGTGATTTGGATTACTGGTGCATCGAGCGGAATCGGCAAACATTTAGCGTACAAGCTAACTGAATTTGGCTGCAAACTGGTGCTATCAGTGAGGAGAAAAGACGAATTAGACAGAGTGAAAAGTCAGTGCATGAGTAAGTTTTCTCCAAGTTATTTTAGTTCTAAAAACTTAATTCTACACGAGGTGAGGGATAGTAGTCGCATAGGGGGACGGAGCTTTTAAAAGAATCTTTATACTTCAATTAATTTCTCAAAACAGTTTCAAAAAATTTTCAAACCAAAAGAAGGCGACTCACTTACATGTCATTGAATAAATTTATTGTGTTATGCCTCGATCCTCAAAGCCTCCCGACACATGTAAATGAGGTGGACCAAAGTGGCAGGGTATTCTGCAGTTGCTCCAAAAAATGATTGAATTTCAGTTATATATTATAACTATAAACAATAGTCTTTGTTTTCTTGTTACATAGGCTTGGCAGGAAAGCTTTTTCCATTAACATTTGAGGAAGACTTTCTTGTTGTGCCATTGGATATTACAAATTTCGCTTCTCACGAAGACTGCGTTACCAAAGCTCTTCAACAGTTTGGCAAGGTCATGATCTCTGCTTTGATGTGTTCTGCTGTAAATTTCAATGATATTCGAACCAAAGCGTACATGTACTATGTTTTCTTAATGACAGATTGATTTTCTAGTGAATAATGCTGGAATTTTACAGATGGGTTCATCAGTGGATAGTGATCTTGATGTAGATATTTCAGTCTTGAACACAAATGTACTAAGGACAATCTCTCTTACCAAAGCTGTTCTGCCCCACATGATTGGAGAAGGAAATGGTCAAATTGTTGTAATAAGTAGTGCCTTTGGGAAATGTGGTAAGTTTAATATCTCACTCAAGAGAGGGGCAAAGAGGAGGGGGGGGGGTAGGTGGGAGTAAAATAAACATCATGCTGAAAATTCTGCATTACAACATAAATGTAATGAAGGATTTAATATATCATTCTGAAGGGAGGGAAGGGAGAGAGGGTACTTTTCATGAGAAAAGAGCAGCCACACATGCTGAAAATTTTGCATTAAATCATTAATGCAGGCTTTACCTTTTCTCAGTCCTCATATGGTACCACCTCACAGATACACATTTTGAGTCTAGCATGGGTGGAGTTCATGGAAAATTTATACATATTTTTCTTTATGTGCCTAGATCATCAACAAGGGTTTTAACTCTCAGCTCAAATTTGTAATTCTTCTTATTGTCAACCATATGATTCTTATAATGTTAGTTCAGAGAATTTAGTATTGGATCAACTGCTCATCAGTTCTTATCTGGTTGATATTGTGTTGATATTGTAAGGAGAAATTCTGTCTTGGTCACTTATGGGAGTTAAAGGGTTAAATTTTAACATAAAAGCTGAAAGATTGCATGTGTTTATCCAGAAAAGTGAATTCGCTGAGTAAGCAAAACAAAATTTAAGGATTTGCACTCCAAAGGGAAACAGAAAATTTTGTAGTCCTACAAGAATATCTCTGCAAACAAAAATTTTTTTATTGAAGAACAGAGAACACGTAGCACATGTAACTTTGTTTGACACATGGTTAAGATCACTTTTTACTTTTGGGCTTTGAGGTCCCTTTTGACTCAGTTTGTGTTTTATGTAGTTGACAGTTGTTTTAAGCCATCCCATTTTACTGGAAAATAATTCCCTGAACCTGTCAGTTGTTGAGTAGAGAAATCATGAATATCTAATGAACTTCATCTTCCCTGTATGCACTACATGTATAAGTTGCAGGCCAAGCCTTTCACCCTTTTAAGTATA